AAGGGTCAGTGACCGCAGTAGCAAGGAGACGCGTGACAGTAGGACTAGCAGCACGAAGAGAGTCCGACGTAGGGTCGACAAGAGCAGGAAGAGAGGAAGCAGGAGGAGAAGGCAAAGGGGCACGCAGAGGAGCAGTGGAAGGACGCAGAGACATCCGGTGCGTGCCAGGGGCAGGAGGAGGACGTGGACGCGAACTACGAGCACTAGTGCTAGCAGGACGGACAGGCGACGCAGGGCGAGACGCAGGCTCACGACGCTCAGTAAGACCGTCAGTAGGACCAGAGTAAGGAGAAGGAGCATGCAGTGACTGAACAGGCTGTGGACACACTAAAGGAGGGGGAGGACCAGGAGGAGGCGAGAGACCAAGAACCTGCTGAAGGAGCGGAACGAAGTACGGCTGAGGGCCCGCGGCGACTCCAGACACAGCAGGGACAGCACCAGTGCCCCCAGCGGCAGTACCAACGCCCGAATCCGCAGTACCAGCAGCAGCTCCAACGCCCGGGTCCTCAGCACTAGCAGCACCTCCAACGCCCGGGTCCGCAGCACCAGCAGCAACAGGGTCCGTGAGACGAGGCGCGCCACTACGAAGTGTGCAACGGCGCTCGTACCACTCACGGATCCCCTCACGAGAGGGGAGCTCCCGACTAGAAGGAGAAGTGCCAGCACCAGTCTCTGTAGCGCGCCTGGTCCCAGAGGTACCTCTCCGGAGGCTGCAGTACTGAAAGTACCACTCACGCAACTGCTCCGAGGAGAGGTCTCGTCCAGGCGTAGGACCCCCTGGCGGTGCACCGCCAGGCTCAGCACCCCCAGTCACCGCACCCCCAGGCTCAGCACCCCCAGGCACAGCACCCCCAGGCTTAGCACCCCCAGTGTCCGCACCCCCAGGCTCAGCACCCCCAGAGTCCGCACCCCCAGGCTCAGCACCCCCAGTGTCCGCACCCCCAGGCTCAGCACCCCCAGTGTCCGTACCCCCAGGCTCAGCACCCCTAGCGTCCGCACCCCCAGGCTCAGCACCCCCAGCAGGACGAGAGTCGACAGCAACCTCAACAGGCTCGACCGGGTCTACCTGAGACACACCTGAGGGAGCGGCACCCTGAGGGGGGAGGGGGTCTACGACAGCAGCACCTGGCGCGAGGAAGAGAGGCGGGGGTGGGAGCGGGGCAGTGCGGTAGGGGAAGAGGCGGTAGTAGGGGACAGACTCGTCAAAAGTGACGTCCTGAGAGGCCAAGACCCGGCGCGAGGTGGCGTGGTAAAACTGCCAACCACGCGCGTCCGGAACAAAGCCGAGGAAGACGCAGGGAACAGCACGAGAGGAGAGCTTGTCCGCAGACGAATGGCGAACAAAAGCTCGAGATCCCCAGACCCGGAAACGCGACGCATCGCCAACCTCCCCCGTCCACAGCAGTGTGGGCGAGGTCTCCGGCAAGGAGACACGGGGCCAGAGGTTGAGCTGATGCGCAGCGTACCGGACCGCAAACGGCCACAGAAAATGGGGGGCAGCCGCATGGATCAAGGAGGTACGAGCGACCTCCATGACCAGGCCAATGCGGCGCTCCGCAGCCCCATTCTGCTGTGGAGAGGCCGGAAGCGTGAACGACTGACTGCACAATGCCGTGCTCAGCACAGTAGGCTGCCAAGAGGTCGGAGGAGAACTCACCACCTCTGTCAGAGTGCAAGCGCAGGACAGGAAAGTCCGAGCAAAAACGCTTGTCGAGCTGGAGACGAGCTCTGCGGATCCAAGGGATCAAAACATCAGGGACCTCACCCTTGGTGCGCAAGGGGAAGACCGTGGTGTAGCGCGAGTAGTCGTCAACAACGATCAGGAAGTACCTCTCCTGACCCTGACCACGGACGCGGGCTGGGCCCCACACGTCCATGTGGAGCGTCTGCAAAGGAGCAGTCGTCGGGGGAAACGAGGAGGAGTGAGAAGCGGCGCGCTGCCGCCCCTCGACACAGGGAAGGCAGGGAGGAGCAGGCGAGGGTGGGAGAGGAGGGAGAACTCTGGGAAGACCAGAGACAAGGTACCGGGAGTGCATGGCACGAAGGCGCTGCACAGACGGGTGGCAAAGTCGGTGGTGCTAGAGGACAGTCTCGTGCGCTAGAGAGCGACACGAGCAGGGGGCAGACAGCTGACCTGACGCGGACGCAAACGCAGACGCAGACGCATGATCTGAGGGGAGGCAGTAGTCAGTGTGTACAGGTCCGACCCTGGCTGCCGGGTGAAGGTAGCCAAGTGGCGGCCCGTACGAGCACACGTGCAGTGTGTCACACGCTCGTAGGCAGGGGTGAACTGGTGAACACCCCCGTCCTGGAGAGCAGAACCTGCCACCAAGTTCGTGGAGAACGAGGGGAGGTGGAGACCTGACAGTGTGCCCGACGGGACCGCAGGACAGGGAAGGACACTGGAGGAGGTCGCAATGACCGGACCCCCAGAGGGGTCAGCAAGGGAGACAGCAACTGGCCGAGCAAGGGGCTCAAGGGCAGTGCGGTCACGAAAGAAACAGCGAGAGGCACCTGAATCCAGCGTGAAGGTGTGCAGTGCTGCAGTCGACACAGTACCAGGGGGGGCAGACACGCACGCACCTAGAGCAGCAGCCTCACCAGCACCTGCGGTAGCAGACACGTGGGTACCTGGAGCAGCAGACGCACTCGTCCTAATGCCCGGGTCGGGCGGGACACTCAAGTACTCAGAACCCTCTCCACTAGTAGACATCACATACATGGCAGAGAGAATAGCATCAAAATCTAGAGCATAGATATCAATCCCCTTCTTCAGGAGATCAAGCCAGCAGGGCAGCTCAGTGGCCTGAGGGAACTGAACACGCCAAGCGTCGCTCAGACGAGCGAAGCAACGCTGTGTGGCGTGTGGTCCCCCACACGGCTGGCCAGTGCGGTCACCAGTGCGAATGACGTACGTGCAGCTAAGGCCACCCCCCCCCCCCCCCCGTGCTGAGAGTACCACTCACGGACCTCCTGGGGCGAGGGAGTGTGCTGCTGTCCCTGGCCACCGCCAGTGCCGCCACGCCCACCACTCCCGCCACCACCTCCTCGACCACCCCAACCCCTACCGCCGCCTCGTCCACCGCCACCCCCACTACCTCCTCCGCCCCGGCCACCTCCCCCGCCGCTGCCGCCACCCCCACCACCGCTGCCACCTCCCCCACCCGCGCCACTCCCCCCGCCACCACCTCCCCCACCACCGCCACCCCCGCTGTCACCACCACCGCCCTTGCCCCCCTTGCCTTTGCCGCTGCGGCGTCCGCCCGAAGCAGACGCAGTCCCGACCTTCTCAGCACCAAGGAGGTTCACAGCAGCAGCAGAGGCGACAGAGGGAAGAAGGGGGGAGGGAGAACACCCCTCAAAGAATGGGGTGCGGGGGTCACCGCGAGAGGCACCTACAGCGACTATGCTAGTCTCGGCTGCAAGGAGTTCCTTCTCGAGGAGGGCAATGGTGAGCTCGGTGGGGCAGCGAGCGAGGAAGTGGTCCCTGACTGAGCGCAGCGAGTCAGGGAGGCGCGTGACTAGGTGGTAGAGAGTGATCCAGAGCGGGGGTGGGTTCGTGGCGAGGAACTCATCAGGCATAGCGGCGCGGACGCGAGCCTCACTAGTGCGGAGGTGGGTAATGAGGTCAGCGACAGTGTGAAAGGAAGCTAAGTTGGGGAACAGGTAGGGAAGAGAGAGACGGCCTAGAGCAGCAGAGGCCGGTGAGGAGTAGCGGGCAACGACAGCAGTGTACAGTGCCTGTGCAGTCTTGTGCTGCCCAAAGTGCTCGCGCTCATCTATCGGTAGAGAGTTGCGGATAGCGAAGCGAGCATGGGCGTCACGAGTCTGCCAATGTGAGCGAGCAGTGCTGTCGGCAGTAGCAGCAGGAGCAGTAGCGTGGCCTAGGGCGTGATCGTACAGCGAGATGTCTTCCTTGGCAGTGAGCTGTAGGAAGAGGTGTAGGTCATCAAGCCAGGTGTCGAACTTCACTGGGCGCCCCTCAGCATCGAAGACCAGCACTGGAGGGCTAGCCATGGTAGCAGCAGTAGTAAAAGCAGTAGGAGCAGTAGGTAGGTAGGGCGGCGCGGCTCGGTACAGGTAGGGCGGCGCGGCTCGGTATAGGTAGGGCGGCGCGGCTCGGGTCGGGCGGCGCGGCTCGGTTCGGGCGGCTCGGGTCGGGCGGCGCGGCTCGGATCGGGCGGCTCGGTTCGGGCGGCTCGGTTCCGTTAGGGCCGTTCGAGGCGGCTAAGGGGAGCGCGGGGAGCGGGTGGGGTTGGGGACGGGGCCGATGCGGGCCGAAAGGGGTAGGGACGGGGCCGACGCGGGCTGTAAGGGGTAGGGATGGGGCCGACGCGGGCTGTTAGGGGTAGGGACGATGCCGTCGCGGGCCTCTAGGGGTAGGCTCGGGGCCGACGCGGGCCTCTAGGGTAGGCGCGGGGCCGACGCGGGCCTCTAGGGGACGAGCTCGGGGCCGACGCGGGCCGTTAGGGTTAGGCGCGGGGCCGATTTGGGGCCTCTAGGTGCAACAGCGCGGGGCCTACAGGGCCTCTAGAGGCGTGAACGTCGAGGCGCCCTAGGGCAGGTAGGCAGATAGGCAGGTAGGTAGTGGTGGGCCCTTAGGAAAAACGGTCCTAGGAAGGACCTGCTCTATACCATGTTGAACAAGGAATGAAATGACTAAGAATGAAATGAGTACAAATATGGAAACCTAGAAGTGTGTACCCCCTATAGGCTAACCCACTGTAGCCTAAACAACTACAACAATATATGTAATGTTTGACAATTATATCCGACCCCGTTAGTACTATACCCCCCCTTTTGGGGTGATTCTCTATAAGACCCGGGGGGTGGGTGTTATGCGCGGGAAAAAATGCAAATTCATTAAATTTCACACAGTTAGGGGTACATTCTACTACGGAAGTATGGCAAACAGCACCTACACCCATCATTTACTCAGAACAGCACTAACATCACTTCCTAACTCTGTCTTTGCTCTATGGTGCTTCTCCTTGTCCTGCCTACTCCTCCTCCACATCGGCCCCTGCGTTCCACTCTTCACACTCCTCTCCGTCGTAGCGGCCAGGGCGCCACCAGTCATCATCGTCATCGTTGCACTCTCCCGCCTCACCACCTTCTTCAGGCGCGTTCCACTCCTCCTCTACTGCCTCCGCTGCCTCCTCTGCGGCGTCATCCTCCTCTGCCGCCTGCAGCTCCTTGGGCGGCACGGGGGCCTCGGCGTAGAACGGGTTGACGACGACCTCGTCGTCGACGAGGTCGTTGACGTCGTCAAGGACCTCCACCTCACCCTTGTCCTGCATGTGGGCAAGGATGAGGTGGTCTTCAGTGCCATCGATCTTGGCGGAGATCCCGGTGGTGACGAAAGATTTCTTCACAAGCTCCTCTGGGACAGCTTCCCAGGACTCGTCGATCCAGCGGAGAACCAAGTCCGCAGGCGGCTTCTTCAGGTTACCTGTGGGTAGGGGTGGGAATAAGAATTAGGACTGTGTATTGGCAAAGCGTGCTCTGTCACGTAAACGAAAGTTACGCAACGGGTTTTCATGACTTGAACTCACCTGCGCGAGTGGTCAGGTTGATGCCGTCTTCTTCGAACCATCCGCTGTAGCGGGAACGCACCCCGCACTTGAACGCGCGGTTCACCGACACATCCAGGGGCTGCACAAGTGGTGTGCAGCCCCTTGGGATGACCGCCCTTGACAACCTGAACATTCGCATTGTCTGACCGACGGACTCCGTCAAGTGGCCGCGGTAGGAGTCGGGCACCACCAAGGCTTCCCTGCGGCGTCCGGAGCTTTCCCGCAGGGGCCTCAGAAACGGCACCAGCACCTGGGTGATCCAGTCCTGCACAAGAGATTCGTCCATCCACCCCTTCTCTTTTGCACGGACCACCACGCCTGCCAATCACAACGCGATAGTGGGTCAGGACACGTGACAGGCAAGAGCACGGGTCAAACCGTAAACATCTTTCACTTACCGGCAGGAATAGGCACTTTCGGGATAGTCTTTCGCTTGAACGCGACGTAGGGAGGAAGCTTGAGGCCACCCGCCGTCACTGCCAGCATGACAGTGACACGTTCCTTCTCGTATCCTGCACTGCGTACGTGTACCCTACGCGCTCCCTTCATTTCAATCGTGCGCTCCGCCGGCATCTCCAGGAAGAGCGGAGTCTGGTCCGCGTTCACGATGAGGTCGAGCGGGTAGTCGTGCACAGTGCGCATCTGGCGCAGAAACTCCCAGAACGACTCCACCTTCTCCTTGCAGTCTGCAGACAGTGCCACGGCAAGCATTAGATCAACTTCGTGGAAAAAAACACAAGCATACTAAACAATAACTTACCGGCGGCCAACCTCTGCCCCATCTTCGTCTTCACCCGCCTCGCCAAGTGCCAGCGCGCGCGGAAACGTGTCGCCCAGCGGAACGAAGCGCACCAATTGACCGACGGCATCCGGTGCTTCATGTACTTGGAGCTCCACTGCTGGAGCATGCGGACCGAGACGGCGAGGCCCTTCGCCCGGTGGGAAAGGAAATGGCGGTAGACCGCCCGTTCCATGAACGGGTACTTCGCCTTGCGGCCGGAACCCACGAGGCGACGGCGGCAGCTAGATGCGACCTCCAGCCGTTCCCTTAGCTTCTTCCAGTCGCGGATCTGGCAGGGCTGCACCTTCGTGAGCTTCGCCAGGGCGCGATTCCCAAGATCGGGCTGAGCATCTTGCATCTTCAGCCAGTGCAGCTTTTCCTTCACAGTGATCCCGTGACGCACCTTCTTCGTCATACGATGGCGAGGGGATGGTGTCTCACCATCCGCGTTGCGTTTCGTCTGTCCCTGCGGGCGCATACTCTCCGGGAAGGTGGGGACAGCCACTCGTGGAAGGGGAGGGCGAGGGGCTTCAGAGCTACTGCTCGGTTCATCCATGGTAGAAGCACTACCAGGAGGAGACGGCTGGGGCAAGACGGGGCGAGGCGACGTCCATGGGCGTGCAGCAGCGGTAGACTGAGAGTTAAAAGGCCACTGCCGCCTAACTACCGTACTGCTTGAATCGGGTAAGAAAGCCATTCTAATCTACTGCAGGTTAGTGTCACTCGCCATGGCAGAAATGGCTACGGTAAAAAAGAAGATGCTTGAGTGCAGGACTATGGCGCTCTCACAGCCTGCCGAGCACTCTTCAATATCGTGCACTGGAACCGCTGCACAAAGAGAAGGTGAGAGAACCTTTGAGGCACAGGGACGTGCCCAAACCAGTCAAGACGTGACTGCTGCAAGTGCAACGCAACACCGTGTGCGATTCCGGCCTCGGCGGTTGCATGAACTCTCTCTACGCAAGGCTGGCTATGTTTTTACCGGTACCCTATCAGGTGCCAGAGTTGCCCACTGAAATTTGCCATGTGGCAGATTCCAGTGGGCGGTCACGTAATCCTCGAATACTCGGTTTTGCGGTATTGATCAACATTCTAGAAGTGAAGTGACACCCCACATTTTGTTTCACATCATTTGTGCTTCATAAAAAATATATAATATAATAAGACCCGGGTATTATACAGGATTTTCCGTTGAGGAGACCCCCCCCATTTTTTTCCGGTGGTTTTCATAATACCCTAGGGTGTTTTATCCGGGAGAATACGGTACATCTTGTATTAGCGCATTGTGTTTCCAAGCCTCGCGCAATCATTGATGGAAAGCGAGCGAATCTGGAGAGCGTACAAGAGATTAAGTCCGCCGACTTCGACGGAACATTGCGTGCAGCTCACGTAACCTTCAACTATGAGCAGATACGCGTTAGAAAGTTCTTAATCTCTACTTTCCAGAATGGTAACGCACGCTTTCAACAAAGATCTAGGCCGATCGCTATCGCGATCTAAGTGCGACGGTGTATCCTGGCGGAATTACTAGGCAGCCATGGATTAGTTCAAGAAAGTGGATTTAGCAAGAGTTCAGATCTGAAAAGTGACGAGTTGTTCAAACCCTACCAGCCCAACCCTCGCCCTACAACAATCATCAAAAACCCAAAGTGCTAAACTAGCAACACCAAAGGTGTTGTAGTGAATAGCAAAGGTTTGTTGGTGCTTGTAAGGTGCGAGATCAATACCAGCCCGCAACAAGTCTAACCACCACATTTTGCCCAAACCCTTAGCCCACAACCAGCTAGAGCAAAATACCACAACCACCTACACAATCAACACTCCCCCTTGCTCGTGCTGGAGGTGGCTGAACACCACTCGGCAAAATCCTTCACTTCACTCCCCCTTGCCCAGGGAAGGGCGCCATCCACAGCATGAGGTCGTCAATGCAGAGAAGCACCAGTCCTCCCACATCTTGCTCAGGCACCATGCTGACATGGGGCTGCATCCCCATCAAGGACATGCACACACCATGCCGCTCAAAAGGGAGGGGTTTGGTGAGTATATCTGCTGCTTGACGGTTGGTGGGGCACCACCGGAGGATCACCTCGCCGCACGCCACCATCTCCCTGATGAAATGCCACCGAACCTGCATGTGCTTGGTGCGGCCATGCAAGCATGCATTCTGTGCAAGGGCAATGGCAGACTGATTGTCCACAAAGACAGGCACACCACCAGCAAACTCATGCCCAAACTCCCCAAACAAACGCTTCAGCCACACACCCTCCTGAATGCACTGACACAGACTGATGTACTCACTCCCAGTGGTGGACAATGCAACCACCGGCTGCCTCTTGCTCTGCCAAGAGATGGCTGCACCATTGAGGCAATATACATAGCCGGTGTGACTCTTGCGATCAGCTGAATCGCCAGCATAATCAGCATCACTAAAGCCCACCAACTCGACCTAAGGCTTGCTGTGTGCGGGGTAGAAGATACCTGACTTGACACAACCTTTTAGGTACCTTAGCACTCTCTTAGCAGCCTGCAGGTGAAATGCCTTGGGACAAGACACAACCTTGGACAGCTGTGACACTGCATAAGCAATCTGCAGCTGTGTGGTCGTGCTTGCATACATAAGAGACCCCACAATGCTTTGATAGAGCTGGACCAGCTCATCTCGCAGCAAGGGCTCCTCAGCATGTGCATGCACGTCGAACCCTGTAGGGAGAGGGGTACGCACGGGGTTAGCCTCAGAAAGGCCAAAGGACTCAAGCATGTTGAGAATATACCTCTCTTGATGAATCAGAATGCCACTCTCATCACGCTCAATCTGCACCCCCAAATAGTACTTGGCCTCCCCCAAGTCCTTCATGCGGAACCGAGAGGACAAGAGACCCTTCACATCGTCCAGCAAGACCATGCTCGAAGACATGAGCAGAATGTCATCCACATAGAGGTAAAGGGACCGCCTGCCCTCATGCCTCACCAAGTGGTACAAGGCGGGGTCACACTCCGACCTCTCAAACCCTAAATCCATCAGCGCCTCATCAAACTTGGAGCTTGCTTTAGCCTTGGAGCTTGCTTTAGCCCATAGATTGATTTCTTGAGTCGGCAAACTCTGCCGGACCCATCATCAAAACCAGGTGGCTGCCTCATGTAAAGCTCCTCCTTCAAGACCCCATGAAGATAGGCGGTGGTCACATCCATGTGATGGATGTGAGACCCCGAGGATGCTGCCATCCCAAGGGAACCTCTCAGGGTGGTAGGTTTACCCACCGGGGTATATATCTGGTCATAGTGAACGCCTCGTGTTTGAGTGTTCCCCATGGCCACAACCTGGACTTAGGCCTCTCAATACTCCCATCAGCCATGTGCTTATACTTCCACACCCACTGACACCTCAAGACCTCCATTCCAGGTGGCACACAAGCTGGATCAACCAGCTCAAAAGACTCGTTCACCCTATGAGACTCAAGCTCCTCACGCATGGACTCGACCCACTCAGGACGGGACAAGGCCTCCTTGACCGACTTAGGCTCATGCACCTGACCCATGAGACAGAAATCAAGCCCAAGCTCACCCCCCTCAGCATCCACAAGCATGCACTCCTCCATATCATGCACCTCATGATCATGCATGCAAGCATACTGTGCACTTGGTGTGAACCTTTTGGGTGGCCTGGAGATGCGTGTGGTGCGGCGCAGAGGTGATGCCTCCCCCTGCTCCAAACTTTGCAGCTTCTCCTTCCAAGTCACTCTCTTCATGGGGGACCGTGGTGACTTGGACAGCTACTGCTGCAGTATTTGCTGCCACCTACCCGCAGGAACAGGTGGTGTATGCTCCTATGGTGGCTGCTGCGGCTTCTCTTGTTGCTGCTGCTGCCCCTGTGGCTGCTCCGGGTCATGGGCTGGTGCGTTAGGGTCAGGGGTAGAACCAGCAGTTGGTGACTCCTCATGGTGAGGTGCAGCTGCCTTTTGTTCCTCTTGCTGCTCCTCTACCTCCTCTCCAGGGTCCTCCCATGCCCCCTCAAAGATGGAAGAGGTGTAGGGATCCTGAAGGGAGTTCCCAACTGTACTAGCACCATGCTCTTTCCACCCCTTATAGCTCAGCCCCTCGTGGAAAACCACATCCCTGCTTTCCACCACCCGCTGATCCGCCACACTCCACAACATCCAAGCTTTACTCCTCTCCGACACCCCAAGAAAAATGCCCCATTGTGCCTTAGGATCCAGCTTCCTCCGTTGCTGGTTAGGCACTTTGTATTGCGCCATGCATCCCCACACTCGTGCCATGGAAACACTAGGCACCTTCCTGGTCCACATGAAGTAAGGGCTCTTGCCCCCTAGCCCCTTGCTGCCCATTCTGTTCTTAACCCAGTTGGCATATTGCACTGCTGCCCCCCACCAAGTATGGTCCAGCTGCGCATGAGCAAGCATGGCTCGGGCAAGGTCAATGAGGGTCCGGTTTAGCCGCTCCGCTGCCCCATTTTGCTGCGGTGTGTAGGGGACTGAAAGCTGGTGGGTGATGCCCTTGTCTTCAAGGAAAGACTCCAGATCCTTCCCCATGTACTCCCCACCCCGATCAGACCTTAGTATCTTCACCTTCGCCCCGGCTTCCCTCTCCGCATAGCGTATCCAACGTTTGAAGACCTTGGCCACCTCATCCTTGGTTTTCACCAAGGTAACCCAACTTAGGCGGCTGAAGTCATCCAAGAAGGTGATGAAGTATTTGCTGCCCTTCTCCCTATCCGGTGTTTGCATGGGGCCACACACATCCGTGTGCACCAACTCAAGAGGTGCGGAGGCTCGAGTGGAGGAGGTAGGGAAAGAGGTCCTTGGCAGCTTCCCGGTCGTGCAATCAGGGCACTTGCTTGGCTGCCCACCACCCTCCTTGATCTCCACACCCTTCAGCTCCCCCTTCTTCACACACTCCACAAGTTGCTGCCTTCCTGCATGCCCCATGCGTAGGTGCAGCAAATCTGCCGTCACCTGCTCCACGTCCCTCCAACGGCTGCTACAAGCGGCTTCCTCGGCTTCAACTCCATGTGCCCTCTCCACCTGAGGCACACAAACTGGAACAAGGTATAGGCCCTTCTCTAATTTGGCCTCCATCACCACAGCTCCACCCTTGCGAACCGTGCCACCTTCCATGGTGAAGGTGCATATGTATTCTTGCCTCGCAAGTTGAGAGCATGAGAGAAGGTTGGCTGCCAAATCAGGAACATGAAGCACACCCTTCACATTCAGCACCTCCCCCTCCTTCCCCATGACGGTGATGGTGCCGATGCCGATTGCTTGCAGCGTATCTCCGCTCCCCACAATCACATTTCTAGAGTTAGGTGGGAGGGAGTGATAGGTGGTGAAGAGGTCGCGCCGAGGTACCATTCCACAGGTTGCCCCAGAGTCTAGAATGAGCTGATTGGGGTCAGCCAACACACGACCAGCAAGCACCGTCTCCTTCTCCAAGGATAAGAAGGAGAAACCATCATCCGATGAGTCCTCTTTTCCCTTCTTATTCTCGTTTGCCGCCGTTGCTGCCGATTTCTCTTTGCTGCCCTTCTTGTTCCATGCTCCATTCTTCATCCTCCTCTCCACCCACTCAGGCCTAGTGACAGGTGGAGCCTCTCCTGGGTACCCTTGAGGCTTCCACCCATCAGGGTGGCTCCAACACTCCTTCCAAGAATGCTTCCGGTTGCATCCAGGGACGAGGCACTTG